GTCACTAATTGCAATCTCACCCTTCAAATTTGACATTTCTCCCACTTCTCCAATCATGATGCCTAGCTTTTTGCCTTCAACGAAGTCACTCAAAATTGTAAATCTTTTAATTTACCCAATTCCCCTTGGCATTACTTTCGAACCAGTGCCTCAAACATCAAGATGCCACAAGTTTAAAAGATCTTGTATATCACTTGGTAACATCGGCAGATTCCAACAGAATTCCAACTTCAATGTTTGTAGATTGTATAATTTGCACAATGAGTCAGGAAAACTTGCAAACCTATCTAATGAGGACAGATCCAAATGGCAAAGATTTACAAGATCTTGCGTGTTGTTTGGTAGCATCTTAAGAGACTGACAAAATCGCAACAATGTCTGTAAATTATACAACTTACACATTGAACTAGGCAAACTTTCAATACTTGTGTCTGATAGATCCAAATAGCACAAATGGATGAATTCTTGGATAGACTAAGGGCCTACCCTTAACGCATGCAAACCTTGAAGTGACAACATTCACAAGCACTTCATAATTGATAATAGAATGAACAAGAGGAGCAATTCCATCAAACAGAGGAATTTAGGAAAATTTCAATCCTATAAATGTTCGTAAGGATTCTATGGTTTTGAAAAACTCATGGCGGCCACGCTTATATCCTTCAAATAGATGAAATGATATTAAGATCATTAATTATCAGATGGTATCAAAGAAGACAAAAAGATTTGTATAAACTAATAAATTGTAAGCAATCATTTATTTAATGGAGAAATTTAGATGTCAATGAAAGTTGATGTGATGGAAAATCCTGATTTCATTTTTGTAAAATAAGAGAAATTATAGTGTGTGAGATGATATACAACACCAATATCATCTCTGCTTAAACAATTGACCAAAAAATATCTACTTAAGGAATGAGTTGTAATAGAAATGCGCAACAACCTCATATATCTAAATATGTGAGATAATCGACCACCCTTAAATCAGCTCTATTTGTCTTTGCATGAGCAGTTTCCATCATCAAAACAATGAAACAACCGATTTGAGTCCCTCACAATATCTTTCTTTGAACAATCTTGGAGACATATTTCATAGCTGTGACAGTCTACACAAGTTCTCAAGTTTTTAAAAACCTTGGTTGGTGTTCCTGGTGGAGTTGAAATGACTCCAAAAGCAACAGCAAGTTTCTCACTGGTAGGAAAGGTTTTGCTCCTTCTGCTCCTCCTGCACATCATGTAGCACAAAGTTTGTGTCCGGGACATGTCCCTCCTCTTTCATTCTCTTAAAGAGTTCCCCCAAGAACTCAAGTATATCATTTGATCTTGGGTGAGACGTGTCACCAACTAGGAATGCATGCACTTGTCTTTTTATCTGAATCCAACTCTTACCAAGTAGCTTCACTATCCCACTAACATCCATAGCCTTTCTAACCTTCGCTACCTCACCCCACATACCAACGGCAGCATAAATGTTGGCCAGATTGATATAGGTGGCTGAATTCTCTGGTTCTACATCAAACAATGCTTTTGCTTCTCGTTCAGCCAATTCAAGGTTCCCATGTATCTGCATTCTCCAAGTAAGGATGCCAGAAGAAATTTACTTGCCTTTATAGGCATTTTATAAATGATATTCTCTGCTTCTTTGAATCGTCCACATCTTGCCAACAAATCAATAACACATGCGTAATGATCTGCAGTGTGTGGTCAGTCTATACTTCTCCTCTATTGAATGGAAATATTCGCAGGAAAGCGATGGAATCTCCTGTCCTCGTCACGAGCTCGATGCTGAAGACATACTTGAATAAGCATTGAGTATATTACAGAAGAACGTCGATAAATGTGACCGAGCAACTGAATCGCTTCCTTCTCTCGCTTTTGTTCACTTAAGATATCAATGGCTTTCTTAAATTTCTCTCTTCGCAAAGGTGGCCAGTGATAGAATCACTAGGATTATTATGCGCTATTTGACAAGGAATAATTTTCTATCTTCCAAAACAAAACAAAAAATAAAAAATTTATTTGATAACATGTTTTAAAAAAATGTTTTGAAAACTAAAAAAATAAAATATTAAAACTAAAAAAAATAAAAACATCTTTTAAGTATTTTGGATTATTATTCTGAAGAAAAAAAAATTAAAAAAAAATACTATTTTCATTATTTTTTGTTTTCAGAATATGTTATATAAAAAAATAATAATAATGTAATCCCTCTAAAATGTATAATAATAATTTAGTCTCTCTGTAATAATTTTTTTAAAATTTTTAAAAATTTTTCTGTCATTAATAAATTTATATAAATTACAATTGTTAAAAATAATTATTTACAAGTTTTATTTAAATATTTACAAATTTTTTTTATATTCACAACAATGTAATAGCAAATTATAATTTCACATGTTAATTTTTTATTTGCAGTTGCATTGTTATAAATATAAAAAAATATAAATATTTAAATAAAAATTATAAATTATTTATTTTCAACAAAAATAATTTAATAATTTATATAAATTTATTAATAATAAAAAAGTTCATAAAAACTTTAAAAAATTATGATATTTTAAAAAATTAAATTTTCATTTATATATTTTTTAAACAAATTTATTATCATTTTTACTGTATAAAGCACCTGTTCTCACAGTAATATCATAGAGACATATCAAACAGGCCCTATATTTCGCGAAGACTTTGCGTGTATCGGATTTTTCAGACAGATATTGGCAGGAAAGCGATAGGGTTCTTTGAAAACTTAGTAAAAACTTGGTCGCAGTGTTTGAACCTTGCTAGTCACCAGTACGAGGCTAAAACAGAACTGGACCTCGTATCTTAAGTGCAAAATTTATAAAATTTGACAGCAGAGTAGAGCTCCCCACGAGGTCTGAGTTAGCATTGGGTATGAGATTCAAGAAATTTATGGCTGAGAGTGATGTCTTGGCTGAGCCTGATTCAACAATGCTAACTTAGGGTCTGAATCAGCATTGGGTATGGTGTTCCTGCTCGATGTTTCTCTGACCCTAACCGTTTATTTCTCTTACTTCACTCAGTGAGTGCTCAACGACAAAGAAGCTGGCGGCCGCTAGCAGAAATCCACGCTGATTCAAAGCAGAACTTAGGGCCCGTCAGGTTCGTTGAAATGATTTTGTAGGATGGATGCTGATAGTTCAAATTATATCACGTATCGGTGTCGTGTCTTACTGGTATTTTCTTACTACGGATTTCTAAACTATTGAAATATTATTTTTTAATTTAAAAAATTTTATTTTTAATATGTATTTGATATTTTTAAATTATGAATTGACACTTTACAATCGATATTTTGATATTATTTTTAAGAAATTAAATATTACAGTACTAATCGTTTTTATTCTTAATATATTTTTGTAATTTACTTTTAAAATCAGATCCAATTTTCCTTAAAAAAATAAGTTTTAAATATAATAATTTTTTAACTATAAAAAAAGTTAAGAATATAATCTCTTGACATTTAAATCCTAGATGGAGAACCATTAGTAAAGACAAAGTGATAGGAAATTAAGTATAGGTAGAATAAAAGTATAAATAATGATTATATTTTGCTTGATATTATTTTTATAAGACTATATGTTATTTTAAATATTTTCTAAATCAAAATTATATTTTATTTTTATTATTTTTAATATATATATATATATATATATGCATGTAGCGAAAATTCGTATCATATTTTATATTTTTAAAAATAAAAATATTAAAGTATCACATACGTATCATGTACAAATAATATCTGACACACGTGTCAGTATCCATGCATCATAGTTAGGCATTTGGGTAGATGGGTTGGCTAGACTCAGCAGCTAAATCCCTAATTTTCAAACTACATTTTATAACTTTTAAACCAAACATATCCTAGACCTTCATCTGAATTTGAAAAATCCGCTGCTCAAAACTCAAGAAATTAGAGTCAACCAAGCCAGTTGAACCACTAAATTGTTGAATTAATATTTTCATTCATTTAATAAAATATTTTATTTATAACAGATTTTTTATTATAATTTTTTATGATTAATCTTTAAATTAATATTTTGACTAGTTCAATCTCGTTTTCAATACTTTAAAAAAAAAAAAAACCTGGTTCACAGCTAGCTCACCTCATTTTAAAAACGAGTTCACTTTTTCAACCCAAAGCGTCAATAGCAGGCTAACCCACTAGAAAAGCCCGGTTTCCTAATTCTAGAATCCATGCCCTTGCCCCTTTTTTTCCGAAAGAAAAAGTAGATAATTCTCTTTTTGGATACTAATGCCTTTTTTTGATAGTTCTCTTTTTGGATACTAATGTCTTTTTTTCAATTTCTTTTTTTTGTAAGACTACAGCTTGTTTAAAAAAAAAATCACTTGAGTGAGCATAATGCTAATGTCTGCTGCTAAAGCTAAAGTATTATTCTAAACGAGAAAATTTGCCCGGTTGTCTTTTAAAGAAATACGACACACATGCTATACAAGAAAAAAAATTGAAACACACACACATGAATAATGTCTTTCAAATGTATTTGCTATTATTTTAAAGTATATGTATTAAATTTTGAGCAATATAATTTTACAATGCTTAGTCACAAAATTTATAAAAACTATATGCACCTATTTTTTTTTATGCATTAAAGTTAAGAGGGTTAATCAAAATACATGCGTGTAATTTAATAAAAATTACATAAACGGAATGTTGTATTATATGAAATTTTTATTAAGATGAAAATATTACATGTTAATTAAAATCACTTGCAAAATATGATTTCCCTGTTCCAGAAAATACGAAATTTGAATAGTTTTTACTTTTATAACCAAAAAGGCACTGACATACATTTTTTTCCTTCTCTTTCTTCTTGTATTTTGATTTTGTTGTTTCCTTTTTTTTTTTTTTTGGGCCACAGGTTTTGTTGTTTCAAGTTTGAAAACCTCAAGGGAATTTTAAATAATTTGCTCTAAAAAAAAATGGAAAATTATTTTTTTGATAGATCACAGTAAATAGATAAATCTCTACATCTTTCTACATATAACCAGATTCTCAAAGCTCAAGTAATTACCCTGATAAATGACCTAGAACTAGCTTTTTTGTTTGAAATTGGCTTCAATAAATACAAATACACTGAATCAATTACAGCAAAAGAAAAACCAAAAAAAAAAAAAGGTGTCTGGGCTATGATGCAAGGGGAGATGCTAACGAAGAACAACCTTTAATACAAGACAGTGAAAGTTTGAGCTTGACACCTCATGCAAACTCACTCACACTAATGAAAGAATAACACTTCAATCTAAGCTCCATTCTCCTCTGCAATCCCCAACCTACTTGCTCATCTCCAAGCAAGCAATAATACAAGACACCCAAAGGGATGGCTAACAGAAGTTATGAGGACACAAGAAATAAGCACCTAGTAAACTTCACCAGGCATGTTGGTGGAGGGAATTCTCTGGCGTTTCTCCACGTATGCTGAAGGAAACCACCCTGCTCTTCCATTGCATTCTCCTTCTGACCATCCCGTTGCGGTCACCTGGGTAATTTTTTAAAACTTTAATGAGCATCAAGGCAGAGCCAAAGGTAGGATCCAATTAATGAAGTAAATCCATGTCATCATTATGGTTACTAAAAGCAACAATTGTCAAGCAAGTAGCAACCTGCTAGTTCAAGCAATAAGAATGTAGCAAGTGTGGGTGATGATTTTGGATCCAAACTATCTTCAAGTCACCAAAAAAAAAAAAAAAAATTGTAACATAGGATGAATTTGTTTGTTTATACTGAGTTTTATACCATAGAAACGGATTTCCCTGAAACGTCTGCAAGTAGTTTTCTATGGTAACTCCATCTGTACATAAATGTAGCCTAGTTTTGTAGAATAAAAAAGCTGATGAGAGTGATTCCAAATACACAATTTAGGGCTGGGAGGAGCATCAGTGGAAAAAATGACAAATCTGAGCAGCAAAGAGATTGATTTCATCCGTCAGAGAATTGGCAAACCAATGTCTAAATATGCATCAGACCTCTGCCACTGACTCATGGTACCTCTTTTCCTTTTTCTAATTAAATTTCCCTCCATTTAAATAAAAAGAAACACACTCTGAAGGTGTATACATTTACATATACAATGCTAATACAAGTATTTCACTGGTTCTACCATGAGGTTTTCCTTATTCCTCTTTTGGTAATTTTGGGAAAACAGTTGCAACTTGAGAACTTTCCATGCGATCACTTATCATAGTATTATTTATCCCCAAGGAAATTTAACTGCTAAATTCTGATGAGATCTTATCAGTGCTGATAAATGTATTTGCCAATATTCTTCACTATTGGAGGAGGTTCACATGGAGAATATATATATATATATATACAGAGTGACATGAAAACCTACCTTTCGCACAACAACAAAGTCACCCTTTGCCAAGCTCAGCTCCTTATCTGCTGTAGCAGTAAATGGATGCATTACCTGCAACAATTGATACATGGTTAACATTATCTTTTCATGAGTATAAAAAAAATATTATCTTTACACCCCGTTATTATTTTAGAATTAGAATCCCTCAGCTTCCTATATTTTAGCAACTAAAAACTGATCGGTATTACTATAAATTATTTCAGCACCTAAATCACATAACTCATTTGTCACTATGGAAGCACTCAATTAGAAGTTGTTTCCATTTTTCAGGGAAAAAAAGGTCTTGTAGTGGAAACACAAAACAAGTAATGGTCAGTAGCCTCCGCTATTCCTTTACTAGCGAAGGCTGTCGAAGGAGAAGTAGGCTTGAAAGTTTGAAATGATAGTTGCAGGATCAAAAGAAAGGAGAAGAAAAAAAGAAAAGAAAAAATTCAATGAGGTAAGGGAGAATCTAGAACCCTACCAAAGCAGCCCAAGAACCCCTATCACCATCATTGACCATTGTCCGCCATCGCTGAATTGAACAATCTTTCGCCACGAAAGGAAGCTTATGCTGGATGTACCCCCAAAGACCCAACCCCCATTCCCCCTCCCAAAGGGGAAAAAAGGGCAACCATTATCTAATAGAAATAAAATTTAAGCTCTAATGATATTTTAGGGCTCTGTTTTATTCAGCAATGAATTAATATGCAAATTTTATGTAAAAAATAAAACAACAATCACATATCATCTAGGAACTTGCAAGAGGCTAAAATAAAGCAAGATAAGGTAAATGCAGCATACTTCAGCCAAGAAATACATTGTTTTTGTGGAGCCATTCTCAGAAACCACTGGAGGGGCAGATTCTTTCCTCTGTCTCTCTGAAACCATCTGAGGCAACGTTCCAATGACAAGAAATTTTATTGCTATTATGATAGTTAACACAGCTCAAAGAACAGGAAGAAAAACGGAAGTGATACAATCATATAAACACTTATGGAAAAAATAAAGAAAAAGATTAGTGAATCTGGTTCACACCTCAGCTTCAATTTCACCAAGAATGGCTGCAACTCTTGCATGAAAAGTTTTTTCCCCTTCAACCTATAAAAGCATAAACACAATCTATATAATCAAAATTCAAAATAATTATGTAAGGATAAATTACACGTCCTTCCATGGCAATCAGCTTAATCATACAACCCTAACCTCTATTTTAAGATATTACTCCCCCTCTTGTAAAAGCAAAAGATAAACTACACTGACAGTGTTTAGATCAAGTGGAAAAGATTCAATTGCTCTGAATCAAGGTCAAAAACTTGAGCCTTATGGATATAGAAAATCGCATTAGGAAAGTCACCCACAATTGGATCAAACAATGTTTAAGTCTAACCCAATGTACCATATACAAGATAGTTGTATTGAGAGCCAAAAAGGGGAAGATAAACTACAATTTTTACCCATTTTGACCAATATACCCAATGATTAAAGCTCAAAATAACTATGTAAGTACTTCTCTAAACATAACCCAACCAGTTCTTTAAATCTAGAAAAAGGTAGAATCATTCTTAAAAGATAATACTTAATTCACAACAATACCATGTTTGTTGTGTAAATAGTTAATCAACATAAGCACTATTGTAAATATAATAAGAAAAAAATAGATATATTTAATTTATTCTATTTAAGAAAAATAAATATTGGTATAAAAATTATTAAGAAATACATGTTTTCATAGGTCGCATTTTCACTTATAAAACATCAATTTTGTGGTTTAGGTATTGGGCCAATTTGTTGGTTGCTTTTTAAGTTTGAGGAAAGGGAGAGATTATCACAAAGGGGAGGAACACAGAAGGGGAGAGTGATTTACCCAAGTTTTATATTATCAATCATGTTCATGCGTAAGCATACCATGGCAACAAGTCTCTGGAATGTCAATCTTTGCTGTTGTGCCTCGACAGCAGCCAATGCAGCTGCAGCTTCTTTACCCAGAACAGCCATATTTGCTTTTAGCTCCTGCATCTTTGCTTCTGCAGCATGCAATTTTGCAACATTTTCAGCAGTTGGAGCCTCTCTTACACGTGCTTGTCTTCTAGATATCTCTTCCCTCTGATTGGAATTTTAAAACCAAATCAAGTTACAAAGATGATGACCTAACATAGCCTAGCATATAAATCTTTCTTTCTGGTTACTAGCATGTGCCAAACAGAGAAAAGAATCCACAAATTTACTGCACACTCCATGCCACAGATAATACAGGAAGTTCCCCTGGGAACCAAAGCTACTGGTTATTAGGCTAAGTGCAGAGATTGAGGAACCATTCCAACGTTTGACTTACTTGCGTCTCTGCTTCTTGTCTCATCCGACTATATCGCTGACCAAGATGGCGAGCATCCTCCAAAGGTGCACCATGGATCATTGATCTTAAGGGATCTAAAACCTGGAAAGTAAGAACATAGGATTCATGCTGTTGTTCTGATAGATTTAAAAAAAGATATCAGACAAAATCCTCTCAGTCATTGTTCAAAAAATGAAGTCATTACTCTTTAGTCTATAGTTGCTTTTGTACTGCTTTGGTACGTGAGCATAATTTTGTTCCAACTGCACATAATTTTTTATCCTTTAAAGATTGCGTCATTATCATTTTAGCACCCCCAAAGGGTGGAACTGGAAGGAATTCCAAGTTTTTTTTTTTTTTTAACAAGGAAGAAATTAAAAGTTTCATGTACTAAAGTGGTACAAACATTCTGAAGAATCAAATTGATAATGAAGCCATCTCTTTAGTGCCAAAAAAGTTTTTTTTTTGTCAAAATATAAGTTGTAAATAACAAAGGAATCCCCTCTAGCTTCAAGGCCTAAAATGCCTCGTTTATTTGCATTTTGATTTCCGCCCTTGCTGGAGGGAATGAGGGTGAAGAAAATTTAAAACAGGTTTGGCGAAGTGGTAGTGGAGAGGGTAGAGTGGAGGTCAATCAACAGTGTTTCAAATTGCATTAATAATTAATAACTATGCAAATGGAAAACATATGAAAAGGCAACCTGTGAAGACAAAAGCTGATTGAATTCTTCTTGCTCCTTTTCAACATGTTTGCGAGCATCGCCATATACTGATGCAGCCTTAGCCAATATGTTGTCACTGCTATTCTCTGCTCCATATCTACAGCAATCCTCAGAAAGCTTCGTTCCTGTCTACCATGGAGATTGTTATTAATGTTTGCTCAAAACGCGCAAGTCATTTTACAAAGTTGCAAGGTGCTTCTCATTCCAAACTGTATACCAACATGAGTGTTAAGCGTAAACTACATTCACATGAGAAAAACAAATCACCTGCTTCAATATGCTTATAACCCATTGCTGTAAACGTCTCTGCTGCTTTGACAATTTCCCTTTGAAAATCCTGGATCAGAAAATAGTATCACACCAATTTCAAAAGGAAAAAAGAAAATAGTATCACACAAATCAAGAAAATGGAAAGCCAACAAGAAAATAAAAATCAACCATCAATAAATATAATATTTACTTGACAAACTCTTTACAATAACTCCTACTTCAAGTGATGTTCACAAAGGCTACACAGTCATATTTACCAAAATCTTACATCAACTTTATGTTTTACCCCTTCTGTCACTCTTCCTTGCCCTCCCTTACTAACTCCCTTAAGGTTCGGCTCACATAGAGCTCATGGGTAGACAAAGCCCACCTAGATTTGTTGACTCAACCTACGTCTGTTAAAACGTTTACCCATCACACTGAAAGAATAAGAAACAGCAGCGCAGCCAGAGCATAGACAAGCACTCCAATCATTCAAACAGATAAGTTACTTTGTACAGTTTTTGTTGGCCAGTTCCTTTTATGTATATTTTTCTTAATTCAGCATGAAAACTGTGCTGTGAGAATGTCATCAACCCTGTAAACTGACAAGCACTATAGGATTTGCTTAAAGAAGCTTGCACTCAAATTAGCGGGAAAAACTCTGCAGTTTTCTTTGGTTTACCATGAAGCCATTTAATTATATTATTTATGAAGCCAATGATGTGCTGCTAACACAGAAAATAGTTAGCATGATATATATATTTTTGGTGTATAATTTATTAATTAGGATGCTGCGGATGATCAAGCCAGAATCATATATACTCCAAGGAAGATGATTATTCAAGAACAATGCAAATGAAAATTTTATAGCTACAGGGATTCCGATAGGGATTAAAGAAGAGACAAAGAAGGAACACTAACACCATAATCAGCTCTTTATATTCCCAAGTTTAGTTTTTTAGGGTGGTAAAGCAAAATTGATTATTAACAAAGGGGTGGCTAAGTGCAAGGTTCATTTTTATTTAAGTTAGTGTGTTCGACCTAGTGATTTAGTTTGGGTTTGTTAGGCCTAGTGATTTATTTTTATTTAAGTAAACTGGCCAACTCTTGACAGCTCATGAATATGTCAGGTTTCTTTTCAGTGCACCCCACTTTTGACACAACCAAATGACTAGATCACATTGGCTTAGTCTATCAAAGAATCCCCCTGGCCCACAAGGCAAGAAAAAGACACAACTTTGCAATCATTGTTCAGGAACTGCACCTATTTGTGCAAGTGTTATTCAATCTATAATGTTGAGTGATGCTCTAGATGAGATTGACCATACTAGCTTGGATTTACACCTAGTTTTCATGACCCTATATGGCACGGAGAGGAGGGAGATTCACCAACCTGTAGTGTGATTTTAGAAAAGACCGATTGTTATGTAAATAAGAAATCAACGCTGATTAAAACCAAAAATGAAATGGCAAGAATTAGGATTTATAGGAACTATAGAATAAGCATAATTAGATCCAGCAATTATACAAATACATGCATGTATGTATAACTCAGATTCTACTATAAGATATCTTCAACTTAAGTGGGGAATAATTTGTAATAAAGAGATGAAATCCCAGACTGGGAAAGCAAAACAGAGAAAAGAGAAGAACCATGTGTAAGCAATTCTAAGAAGTTTCCCCAGATTAATATGCATTCTTATTCAATTCCATTACAGAGCAGGGAAGGTCAAATATGAAGATGTGTTCTCTTGAATAACCACATTTGATTTACAATTTACCTTCTTCATAAGTTGGTTGGATTCACTTCAAATCTGAATGGTGCCTCATCAAAGTTAGGCTGATATGTTAATCCAACCCAATTTCCAGCAATTGAACATCTACGTGACTAATCTCAGAACTACGCTTAAAGAAGCCAAAATATTTGAAAATTGTCAATGACTCAGGAGCCTAATATCAGGTTCATCTCATTGACTCTTCTACAGCTTTGAATTCTCTACCTTCACCCTTATTTGTAGGCAACATATTTTAGATATTATTTTTCTGATTTTTTTTAATTACTTTCCTGGCATTCTCCTTGATCACCGAGATAGAGTGGCTGATCTTGTAGCCACCAATGCTCTCTTTTTATCCCTGGAACATGCTTTATGTTGAATGAACAAGGAAAAGGATTTATGCATCAGTTTCATTTCAAAAATGATTATCGAAAGGCATGCTTTAAAATTCCTTGATAGAGCACCAGAGCCAAGCTAGATACACTAACATGGATTCATAAAGCTGGCCGCTTCAATTATGTTTACTCACTCATGTGACCCTCAACTCAAAATTCAGCAAATCTAGTTGATGATCAATCTAACCAATACAAACAGCAAACAGAAAACACTACCTTTCCTGCACGAGTGGACCTGTACAATTTCTCTAGTTGTTGATGTCTCTGCATTTCAACCTCATCAATGACCATGACATCTGATCTCTCATAACCGCTGGTGCTGAACTGCTTTATCATAGCCTGACAAATAAACGAATTAAATTAAATCCCACGGCAAATAGGGTACAGAGGGCCACGCCAAAAAGCATTGAATTATGTGCGTTGAAAGCAGAAACTTGCATCATGACAAGGAGGAGGAAAAACATTTAAGTCCCACCAGATGATATGTAATCATACAAAGGATTGTTGATAAACACTGCCAATAACATAATTTAGTAATGGTCAGAATGTGCAAAAGAAATTGCTGCATATTCACTAAAGTTTACTCGACCACGGCAGCATCAAAGAAATCTTTCTTGAAAGCATTCTTGGAAAATTTTAGATCAAACAGAATTTTAGCATCGGAACTACAGTTGAATTCGCTAAAGTAGCATCAAACAAAGTAGAAACCCATCTTCAATGCATTCTTGGAGATCTTTAGAGTAAGAAAACAGGAATTCAGATGCTAAAACTCGTCACCTTCTGTCATGATAAAGGCCAATCTTGCCGCCCATACTATTCCGAACCCACCTTGTGGGAAGAAAAGGATGCAAGAAGAACACACACAATTCAAACTCCTAATTTCTTTCCTTTCATGAAATATCTATAGCCCACCTTCAAATGCTTTTCTTAGACATTTAGAATATGTAAAGAGTTTAAATGCTCAAATTCATCATATTCTCTCCAAACCATTACCCGACTTCATGCGAATTCAGGCTTGACGGAGTAAAAAATTCTGAACCCAAGGAACCTACGGCAGTATAACACTAAAAAGTTGAAAAATCAATTTTATTTCCCTCTCGAAATGCATAATATGATTCATCATCAGAATGCTAGCCAGACAGAGCATGAAGGAATCGTTGCACAAAAAAATTACCTGTTGTTGTTTGGCTACTTGCTCTTTGAACTTGCTGGCTTGTCTCCTCAAAGCGTCCATGGCCGACACCTATGCTCTCTTCCTTCGGCGATTACAGAAAAACGGAAACGAGTTACAGATTTTGGAGGGTCCAATCACTGCAATATGGACTTGGATTTAGATCAAAGCCGGAGCTGTCTCAGATCCACTGTGAGAGAGATGTCAAGCTCTGGCTTCCGTATGTATATAATATTTTGAGAATTTAAATTTATTATAAAATATTTTTAATTAAATTTTATCTCTTAATAAAATAATTATTTATTTTAATTTAATATATTTTTTTATATTTTTATCAATATAATACATCCTATAATAAATATAAAATTATTAATTAATAGAAACACTTAAAAAAAAATAATGTTATATATTTAAAAAATTAAAAATATCTTACATTTTTTAACATTTAACTCTTAAAAAAATATTTTATATTTTTAAAATTTTTGAAAGGAAGGAGTAAATAAAAGTGCTAATGAATTGAATTTGAAAGGAAACATAAACTGCTAAATAATAAAATTTTGGCACAAATAAAATAAAATGATTCTCATAAATATCTCTTTTTATTGGGTCACTCCACACGCTCACATACATAATTTATTCTTAAAATGAATTTCATATCACCAAAAAAAATGACTTTCAATTTGAAACTATCATGTTTTAAGGAAACTATCATTTGTTTAACGTTTTTTTCATGAAAAATATATACTTTTTGAAAAAAAAATGTTTTGTGAAATTATATAATGTTCATTTAAATTTTTAAAAAAAACCAAAATTTAAGAAAAATATTTTTTTATTATTTTGAATAGCTTCTATAACAAAGGTATTGTTTTAAATATTAGGTTTACGCTATAATATTTTTTTATTTTAGATTTACAAGATTTCTCATCATTTTTTATCTTGGTAAGATTATTGAAAAATGATGCCAGAAATAAATGCATCCTTAATTATTAAAAAGTTGCATTTTTTTCAATGAAAACAGAAATATTATTAAAAAATAAACGCCACAAATGAAAAAGAAGAGGAAAAAAATTGCCAAGGTCACATTGCGGTAATTGCAAATGCTATGGTCTTTGAGCTGTCCGTCTACGAAACGAGAATACAAAGGTTTCAGTAAATAAACACCCAAGAGAAAATGAACAAACTGAAGAAACAAACATTTGATTGGACAAAAAATAAAAGGCCCGTTGTTGAGCAAGTGAAGGCCCGTTTGATTTGCTTACGTTTTACATTCGAAAAATAAAACTTTACTTTCAAAATATTAAAAATTATTTGAATAAATATTTTATAAAAAACTATATTTTAAAAACATATTTAAATAATGACTGAAAGTGAATTTGAGAAATATAACTATTTGAAATTTTGAAAAGTAAATTTAAAAAGTAAGATATTATTTGATCATACTATCATAAGTTTAATATCTTATTTTTTATTTAAAAATAGTAATTTATTAAAACTAGCATTTTTCATTTCAGTAATATAATTAGGTATCAAATTTTTAGTGTTATACATAAATAATTAATCATGTTAATTTTTAGAATTAAGGTATAATAAAAATTACAAATCTTTATCAGATTTTCTAAAATTACAAATTAAAAAAATTCAATAAAATAAAGATCAAATTTATGTTATTTAAAATCATTATCACACTTTTAAATATTTTAAATATATTATATTGTATAATAAAAATTATAAATTATCATAAATTAATATCTTTTTTTATAATCGTATATTTAAAACACATTTCACAATCATAATTCAAATAACTTTCAGTGTATCAAATAATTTTTAAAAATTATATTTAAATATAAATTTTATTATAAACAATTAATTTTTATCAAATAAATTTTTATCAAACAAACTTTTGACAAAGTAAACACTAAACACGTGCTAATTAACATAGTTAAAGCTTTCCACTGTCCTTGAAATCCATAGTACGAGGAATGTACGAGTTGTCGATTCCAAAAAATAACTTTCACATTTGTTGAGAGTGGGATTACTCAGAATTTGAATATATGGATAGCATTCTAGATAACAGTTTCTTAATTCTTAATTTCCCATCTCTTTGTTCTACACTATTTTTTTGAGTTTTACTAGGATTTCCATCCTCCTTCTTGTTCTCTTTTGTTCATATATTATGATAAGACCACTCATTTCTTTCTTTTTGACAACTAAGACCACACATTTCATAGCCTCCTTCGTCTAAAATCCGACCATTAAATTTCAAGTGTTTATGTTTGACAAATCCTTCGCCGGTAGTGTATTTCTGATTGACAATCTAATATCATGGGCCACCATTTGAGATGATTCATGATATTGATAGATATACTCTCAACTATTTCAACCTTCCATCTTAAATTATCATAGACTAATCAAAGATTCCATCCCATATACATGACACCCTTGTCTCCTCTTCCATGGCACCCAAGTTTATCTTTTTAACAAAATTTTTGCGCTCAAATTTTGTGCCACTTATAATTGTTTTTTGTCTATGGTATAATCTCCAAATTAACCTCTAAAGTTCATGGCACAACCAATCTAGAACTTCTTAACTAGTTAAAAAAGTTATTTTTTAAATCGATTGTACAAGCTGGTTTCATCTAAACTGGTTCCAACTATTAGAAAAATTATTGTTACTGGATTTAAAAAAATTCCTTTTTTCCTAGTAGTATTGTGTATGTAAAAGTTTACCACCAACAACTCACCAACTTGATCATTTAGAACATTCATAATTAATGAATTAGAGCTTTTTTCATTCCCTTGACTTTGAATTTAGTCATTAGTTCTCTAATGCCCTACAACGAGTTAAAAATACTAATGTTAGATTTTGATTCGTCTCTTAATTCTCATCATTCCCTCTCTCCTGGAAAGGGATTCATCCTCGAATCACATGTATTGAATAAAGAAAGTCTACAACATTGAATGTAGTTAACACATCCCATAGGAGTTAGAGAGGTCTATCTTATAAGTGTTGTCATTAATCCATTCCAACACTTGAAAAGGTCCATCGCCTTTTAGATGCAATTTTGTCTTCCTCAAAGTTGAAAATCTCTTTGCTTAAGATGTACCCATTGTATGGAAAATTGGACCAGACTAGCCAAATCAACCTGTGAACTAATGACCTGGCCTCTCCACCGATCTAATTTTCATCTTAACCCAGTTTAGTGAGTGACTCAGTATGACTCGGCCAACTCGAGATCAACCCAGTGTAAACCGAATAACCCCGTCGAGTTAGCTAGGTTAACTAGGTCATTTGTTTAGCCCTTGAAAACTCCAAAAATTCCTACTTTTCCTTCAAAAAAACCCCCAAAATATGACCTTTTAAGGGTTTTTTTTAAAAAAGAAAAAATTGAAAAAGCAAAAGGGCAAAAAGGCTTTGCTCTTTTTGTTTTTAAATCTTGAAATTAATCAATCGAACCCTACCCTATCAACTTTGAACATTCATCCCTAGCCTTAGCTTAAATCAAACCCCACCCATCGGTTATTGACTATTATAACTACCTATTCTACTGTTGTCGCTTTTCTAGTTCAAACTCTATCTCTCTCGCTGTGTAGTAGAAGTGTAAAACTTGCTATGTAGCAAAAGCATAGAACTTGTTGTGATTGTGATGCATAACTTGTTTCGCTCTCTCTCGACTCTCCTCTCTCTTACTGTAAAGCAGAACTCACCATAACATTGCTATCCTCTGAATCTCCTCATCATCTAGTCATTATTTTTCTTATTTATATGCCTCTCCTTCTTTTGTATTTTTAATTCAGAATAAGTGGTTTTTACATTATATGCTGTTGTTGATTTGTCTATTGTTGCTTAGCATTTCAAATTATTTTTGTCTATTGTTATTTTTTATTGTTAGACTTTTTGTGTGGTTATATTCTATAATTATTTTCATATTGGCATCTTTTAGT